ATTAAGATATTTACACATAATAGCATCCAATAGAACAATAAAAATAAATATACTGCTGCCTCACAGAACAACATGGATAAATTCTATAAGAGACTGAAAGATTTCAGGCACTAAGTAATTATATATATATATATATATATGTATATGTATGTATGTATGTGTGTTTGTGTGTGATTCTGTTAATCAAAGTGCAAATGCTGAAATTTCATTTGTTATTGGTGAGAGCCATGGTTTCTTTTAGAGCTCAAGGAATAGTACTGAATAGGAGGGAGAATGAGGGAGCTTGTAATTTATTCTATGTTACTATCTGGATTTCTAGAGCCATGAGCAGTTTGCTTTGCAAACATTCTATCAACTAAACAAATAATAATCAGGGGGGCAGAAGGATTACATAGTGGTTAAGAGTACACACACAAACATAAACATACATCAACCAGATAGAAATAGTTAAGTTGGCTGTAAGTGTCTAACTTGGTGAATCACAATATAGGAGGAATCCTACCAGAAAGAATGTAGGCTCCGATTTTGAGTGTAGCTCTTCCGCCCTGTCTCTAAAGTGCTCAGTATGTGCAACCCTCCCATGCTGCAGTTAATGGACACTAATAGACTCTTCCTAGAACATGGCATTTATCTATCTATTTGTACCATACAAATGAAGTTAAAATACTAACACCCCATTGGTGTGGAGGCAAGCTAGTTCTAGTGCCTCACTTTCTCTTGCTATTCAGCATTGAGAATGGATTCAGAAGAACAAATGCCTGACCCAGTCTGAGAACACAGCCTTGTCCTATGGTACATGTCAGGGCTTGATCTTCCAGTGAGGGCTTATTAAGGGTTCTCCCATCCTTCTACACAGATTTTCCAAGTGCCTGAAGTGACCCTGAGAGCAGTGACAAGTTCTTTCAAGGCCAAGACGATGTAGTGGGAAGGAGGATGGGACAGAATTGGAAAGACACTGCTTTATGTACTTCAGCTGCCCTAATGATGGGGATCTGAGAGAGCCACGGGACTATATCATTAGATGTTACCATGGCAAGCCTGGAATTAGAGCCAGAATCCTAACTGGGCACCATACCTGCTTCGGGACCTTATTCCAGTGTATCATGTTTTATTGTCTCCAAACCCAAAGAGCCCTTGGCATGCCCTTGAGCTGTCATTTCCTGCAAGCTTGAATTATGATCTTCAAAGGATTTTTGTCTCCGTCTGTGAAGTGGGGAGAGAGTGTTTCCTGCTACTTTGTCTCCCAACGTTGTTGGAAAGGTGTGGAGGTTTTCTTAGTTGAAATATGTTGGGCTTGGAAGCTGCTTCCTAGATTTTCAGCAGTATAATCATTAACCATTAACCTCACTTTCTTTTATGGCCCTTTTCATAGGCTGCGTTTTGTTGGAGCCATTATCTTACATTAGCTGGCTTTTTAAGGTCTGTTCATCTCACGGTGAAGAGGCAATTCAGATTAATCACATGGAACGCACAGAGCAGTAGTCCACTGGTTACCGGAGAGGACTGGGTTCTCCCATGTTTATTCTACCAGCTCTTTCCCTTCTCACCTGCCCTGCATCAAATAGGGCTTTGCAAGGGTGATACACAGACAGATATGTACATTCAGATATGTATACACACACAGAGTCTGGTAAATCTCTCCCAAGGTTAACTGTGAGTATTGTCTATAGAGAGAGGAAAGAATAGAGCTGTTCCTCTTCGTGAGGGTGGCCAGGGACCAGAATACCCTCATGAGGGACTTGATAGAACATCAAGGGGTGGGTATCAGAGTTGCTGACATCAGTGCCCGCCTCTCTTGGGTTCATATTGCTTCAGGCAGCTTCAAACCCTTGTATTTTCTCTGGGGTGTAGAAGTCTCAAGGGACACTTACTCTGAAGAGGTAGATAAGAACAAGCAACTCCTCCCTCAGAACAATTTGGAAAAACCGTCACACTGCTTACCTGTAACTGTGATGAGAGGGAGAAGGAGAGGAAGAGAGAGAGAGAGAGAGAGAGAGAGAGAGAGAGAGAGAGAGAGAGAGAGAGAGAGAGAGAAACTCTACCATGCCAATTACCAATGTATTGGTGACAAAAAGTATCCAGGAGCATTGGGAGAGTAAACATGTCAGACAGAGGACACAAGTTCCAGCAACTTCTCACGTGAAGTGGACAGCGTCCCACTGAAATCCTTGGAGGCTGTGCCAAATTCATTATGTTCCCCAAATCTTCATGTTTACTCAGATCCTCAGAATATGACTTTCTTTTGTAATAGGATCTTTACAGGTGAAATGAATTTAGCAAGATGAAGTTGCAATGGGTTGAGGTGAACCCTATCCTCATGATGGACATCTTAATAAAAAGAGGAACATTTGGGAAGAGAAGAAGATACAGGGATGATGGCTGTATGAAGACAGAGACTCAACTAAGGTGATGTGCCCACAGACTAAGGAATGCCAACAGTCGATGGCAGTCATCATTAATTATAAAAGTGCAAAAAAAGATTTGTCCCTAGATCTTTTGGAGGGAAAGAAGCACTGTTATCTTCTTGATCTTTGGACTTGCAGATTCCAGATTAGTGAGAAAATAACTTTCACGTCTTAAGACACCCTGTTTGTGACATGTTTTGATGGTGGTCCTAAGAAATGAACACAAAGGCTAACTGGTGGTGTTTTCTGTGACTCTGCCGTGTGTGTGGTGTGCTTCTCCCAAACAGTGCTGAACTCTGATTTGTTTCACCAACAGCCCATTCCCGGATATAAATTTCCATTCAAAAGTGTCTATTCAGGGAGACATCCATCTGAACGTTATGATTGGCCTAAACAAGACTTGCATGTACAACGACAACATCAGTTGACATTCCAATGTTAATGGGGAAAAAAATCTAACAAGGTACCACCCCTAGAAGAAGAGCTACAGAGCTACAGGCAGTTCAGAGCTGCTGAGAGAGGGAGAGTCAGCTGCCTCCTTGGTAGATTATCTAACCCTAAATGGTTGGCAATAAACACATAACATACAAGAATCACTAAATGGACATAGCAGACTTATTGTAGCAATAGTTAAAAAAAGAAGTGGTGATAAACTTAAGAGGGAGTGGAGACATGGGAGGAGTTGGGAGAAAGAGAAGATGAGGTACAGATGACATAAATGACATAAATATTATACTCATGCAAACAAAGCAACAACAGAAAGTCCCCGTTCCATGAAAGAAAGGCCCTGCTGATTACAGACAAGCCACCACTGACTCTGCCCCCAGTTCCTTGGGCTTGCATGTCTTGCCTCCCCTCTGTGCTCCATTTTACAGTCCTTGCAGGTCTTGTGGTTCATTCACACAGACCCTAAAGATCTCTGGTCCCCAATGAGTGCTCCACTTTTATCCAAAGTGGCGGTGGTTTGAATGAGAATGGCCGCACAGGCTCGTATGCTGGAATCCTTGGTTCCAGTTAGTGGAATCGCTTGGTAAGAATTAAGTATGGCTTTGTCGGAGGAGGTGTGTCACTGGGAGTGGGCTTGGAGGTTTTAAAAGCTCACACTATTTCCAATTAGTGTTCTCTCTCTGTCTCGCTCTGTCTGTCTCTCTGTCTCTGTCTCTGTCTCTCTCTGATGCTGGAAAGCTGGTTGCTGAGTCTCCTGGTGCACTGATCTTGGTCTTCCAGCCTCCAGAACTGTAAGAGCATAACATTCTAAAGTTTAAGTCACACAGTCTATGGTAATGTGTTATAGTAGCCTAAGCTGTTTTCCTATCAGCTCAATCCCACCCGTTCTCATTCTCCCTCCCTCCTAACTATTCGCATATTTAAAAGCTTTTTTAATTGATAAACTTTTTTATATAAAAGGTTCAGAAATAAAGATTTTAGATTTTTGTGGGCCATGACTGCTATCTCTTGTAGTAGTAGTCATTGATAGTATTTGAACAAATGGGTGTTCAATATTCCAATAAATCGCTATCAATGGACACTGAAATTTGAATACTGCATCATTTCGCCTGCAATGAAATACTCTTTGTCTGATGTTCCAATGAGGCAAAACCCACTGAGTTTGAGACATACACACAAAAAGACAGGGACTATATTTTCTGTCTCCTGGGAAACTTTCTCCCTCTTCGTCAAGGCAGTCTTTGCATTATGATATTCCATTGTGGACACTCATCAAACAAGTATTGAGCACCTATGATGGTCAGGGAGCAAGTGTGTATCAGGTGCTGTGATAGGCTCTGAAAAAGAAGTGATCTCTGGCCATGAGCCTGGGCAGAGTTGGGTGGATACTGGCATTTTAAAAGCTGGAAGTAAAGCAGAAAGAATCTGGATTCTTTTTACTTAAAATATGGTTGTCAGATCAGCAGCTGCAGGGTGACAGGTGTTTCTAGGGCCTGGGCTAGACCTTGGATGGCATGAACCACCTGGAGTTGAATTAGTTCTTAACCTGGGGTCTATCTAACACTCCCCACCCCCTTCCTCTGTGGTTTGGGATAAGTCCTTATTTCTCCCTGGGTCATTTTCCTTCTGAAAAAATGCCCAAATCAGCCATTTTCAATCTTAACTGCCCATTGTTACTGCCTAGAGAGACTTTTTAAGTGGTTCTGATATCTGAGGGTCTACAGCCAGAAAATCTTTATCAAGTGATAAATTTCCCACATCATTGTAATTGGTTCCTGACTTCTGAAGATTGGGTATGCAGCTTTGACTTTATGATGGTGTGAAAGTGATATCTGTCTGTCTATCTATCTATCTATCTATCTATCTATCTATCTATGTGTGTGTATATATATATATATAAAATCTATCTCCAGGAAAAAACACACCTTCAATTTTGACCTTTTTCCAAATCATATGGTATTCTACTCTCTTGTCAAAGGAAGTGAAAAATGTTTGGAGTGGCCTATGTAGCTAAGCTAGCATGTTTGATAGATGGTGTGTGTGTGTGTGTGTGTGTGTGTGTGTGTGTGTGTGTGTGTGTGTGATATACCTGAATTTACAAGAGTTCATCTATCTCCACCATCATTACCCTCTGTATCCTGCAGGCAGTGTTGTGAGCCAGGGAGCCACATCCCTGTTCACAAACCTAAGGGCACATCAGCCCCTGGATGTGTGAGCCTTGGAGATTCAGAATTGCGGGTGCAGCTATAACTTTGGATTTACTCAGTGAGTCAAGCGTCTGCCTCCAAGAGATGATGATGACTGCAAACAATGCTATAGTTAAACAAGGAGTGAAGAGAATATAATTGCTCCGTCAAGGTTCTCTACCAGTTTCAATGTGTGATTTGGAAGTCAGCATTTCCCAGTGTGTGGTAAGCCTGAGAATTAGTGTGTTCAGTAGGCTTCATACATGATGCAAGAAGAACAGCTTGGGAAACCCTAGAACCTGGCCTCAGAGGTCCTTCAGCTCTCAATTGGAGGTCCCCGGGGGCAATGATTCAGTTCCTCCTCCCCTTGCTGATGGTAAGCTCAGGAGGCGTCACCATTTGTAAGCTCAACTTCAGTGTCCCCCAAGAGAACAGCCAGCTGGCAGCAGTGCAGAAAGCAGTAAACACATTGACTTTTCTCTAGTGGCAATGCCACATCCATGACATTCAAGAAGACTGGGTCTCTGCATCTAGGCAGCAGAGCCACTGTGGCTTTGCATCAAGCCCAAGGGCAAGCCCGATTCCTGCTGTTCGCTGTCTATGTTGACCCAAAGGTAGGTACTAGCTAGAGGCAGCTATTGCCTGGACCCCAGTTCCAATCCTGGAACAGGAAAAAATGTCTTTAGAGACTGTCTCTTGGGATTAGCTCTTCGGGAGACTGGATGGCCCCCTTGATGCCGGAAGAATCCAGAGCTAGAATGAAGAGCAGAGATTAGTAGATTTGAGACAGGCTCCCAGGCTGAGCTCTGACTATGACCTGACTCTCAGGGATCATGCTGGCACCTCCTCTTCTCCGTGTAGCATGTGGCAGCTTAGTGGCCGTGGAATTCATTGTGCACAATGGAGTTTAGTTGCTTATTGCTAATGGATGACTTCAAATGTGGAGAAAGATTTTTTCAGTAGGTCAAGCATGAACCTCTAAGAGACCACTGTGAGTGAATACAATTACACCATTAAACAAGAAAATTTAAACACACACCTTCCAAGTTCTCTATCAGCTTAACTGTGTGGTTTGGAAGGTTGTGGGGATTTGGTTGAGTGAATCACGTTCTTTCCCCCTCCTCTGTCTGGCAACCATTTCAATGGGTGTGGAAAAAACAAGGGACAGGGCCATGAGTTTGGTAGCCTCGTGCAGTTCCTGAAGTTGGATTTCTTGGTATTTAGTGTGTTGTCCTTGTGGGGAGGAGTCAGGAATACTCTGCTGACAGGGTCCAGAGCCTCACAGCTTGGAGGACCTTCAGAGGACATCTGGCCAACTTCTTTGTGACACTGAGGCGTGGATCAGGAAGGCTCAGTCAGGGGCCCATTGCAGGGCTTGAAACCAGGCTTCTCCACTGTCCTTTCTATGAAGTGGAAATACTAACACTGGCCCACTGAGATGTGCCAGGGACGGAGAGGATGTATATTTAGTCCCTGGGAAGGTTGAGAAGGATTGGCTGTGAACTTCTCTACGTTCATTCCTATACCATTTTACCAGCTGTGCCTACCACTAGCCGAGGTTCCTGGGGCCCTGTCCCCCACTGGCTTCGGCACAGGCACAGGCAGACACAGCCCCTGACATTTTCTTTGAGATAGTGACAGCTGGTGAGACTTTTGACTAAAGGTATAAAGAGCAAGCAGCAAAAAACAGTTACTGTGTTAAAAGTGGTTTAAAAATGTGCGGCACCATCTGTTTGGCCACTGAGGTTTTGTGGAGCATGCGTGGGGATGGGGGAGGCCTCATCTCCCACTTCTGGGTCTCACCTCAGCCAGGGCCAACAAGGAGAAACTTTTCCAAGTCTGCAAGTTCTGTCTTCTTCTTATCCCAGTCTCTCTTTCTGCTCTCCATGCTCCTCATTTTGTTTTCTGAAAAGATATTTTTCTCAACTTCCTCATCTGCTAATGAAGTACCAAACCAGAAAAGCACAGTGGATTGGTTCAAAGGTGGGCTTTTATTTTCCGGTATTGGTTATGTAAGCAGGTATGCTGTAACAGAAAGAGGATTTAGGAGGCCTGTGTTTTAGCTAAGGACAGAGCTCTGAGGTAGAGCGTTTGTGGTATGCACAAGGTCCTGGGTTCAAATCCTAGCACTGGAAAAAAGAAAGGTGGTCAGACTTTCCTGTGTATTTTCTTTCACATCTTAAAGCACCCCCACATCATTCTGCTGACATTTCTTACTCAATTAATCTCTCATGTTTTTCAGTTTTGTTTTCTTTGTTAAAAGATTATAACAGCGTATATTCTAATTAATTATTTCCGTGTCTCACAAAGACTATTAACATCATGTGCTGGTCTGATGCGCACTTCTCTCAATGATTTTGTGGTTAATTACAGGAGTGTTTTGGTTCTTGTGTGTTTTTGATGTAGGTCACTGCACTGATTGCAAATATTCACGGTTCTGGCTCTTTCTGTTCAGTGCCGAGTTTCTTTCCTTCTTTTGCCAGTCAGTGGGCAAGCTTTGAGTACAACATTAAAAGGTAGCAGTTCTGCCAGCTGCGTGAGTTGATCCTGACTCTGGCTATGATGTGTCTGGGGCAAACAAGCGTCACGTTTGTTGTCTGTTTTAATAAAAAGGTATTAAATTTTTTAACAGATTTCAGCTGTTAAAATCATTCCTGGAGATGATTTCAGTCTATTAGGTCACATGAACTTTTTTTCTTAATTTATGAACTAGCCTAACAGTTCTGCCACTAATAAACTGCTGGTTTTGATTTTCTGGTGTTTTATGTAGGAGTTTTATATGTTTATTCCTAAACAAAACAGTCCCTTCCATTCCATTTCCACTGTGTTTTTCTTGTCTGGTTTTGGTTCTGGACTGTGCTTGCCTTATAAAATGAACCAAACAACCTCCATCTCCCAGGTGGAGCGCAGTGCATGGAATGATAGCTTCCTTGGATGTTTGGTAGGAAGTGACCATTGACTTTTTCCCATTTGTACACTTTTGCACAGGTTGGGGTGGGTAGATCTTTATTTTTTTCCATCTCTTTGATTAGTTGTTCTTTCACGGTGGTCTTCTTTTCTAGTCTTCTTGATTTACTGTTTCCCAGAAAGATTTCAATTTGCTTACTTTTGAAATGATTTTGTGTAAATTAGTGTGCCCTTATGCTTCAATTTAAAAAATACTTTGAACCCCCAGAGTTCCCTAGGGCTATTTTCATTGCTGCTGGTTGCCAGTATAAACAATGGTACTATCCCATTGCTGAAGACACCATGTGCTTTATGCAGAGACTCTTAACTAGACAAAGTACTAGACTAAGTGACTGTTGAATACTCTGTCCTAAGTGGGGCATCTGTGGCAAATCCTTCGAGGACTAGGGACCGCCACAAAAGAAAGACTGTTAGAGCCAGAGGATGGGAAAAAGAATTGTGAAACATTGTCTGCTGAATATGATGTGGTCATTGCAACCATCAACACACACACACACACACACACACACACACACACACACACACACACAGATGCACACATACACACATACACACGTACACTTACCAGTATGGTGACATAAAAGTGGGAGGGGACTTATTGGGAAGGAGGAGGAGGAGGAAGTCAGCAGCTGTAGGAAGGAGGTGAGGTTATGGTCATTATGATCACTATTCATGGTCTACGTTTATGAAACTCTCAAGTTCTAAAATTGGTAGTAGGGATAGCTTAGCAAATGAGGGGATGGAAAAATGATTGTGCAAATAAAGTGTTTGCCTGGCAAGTATGACAATTGGAATTTAGGTTGCTAGAATCCATGGAAAAGTCAGTGAGTTTGATGGTCTGCCTGTGTTCCTAACGTGTTGAAGACAGATACATGGAATCCCCAGGCCATAGTGGTTCTCAACCTTCCTGATGCTGCGATCCTTTAACATGGTTCCTCATGTTGTGGTGACCCCCAACCATAAAATTATTTTCATTGCTACTGCATAACTGTAATCTTGTTCCTGTTATGAATTATTATATAAATATCTGATATAAAAATCATAATTTAAATATACACCCCTTGTGAAAGGATTGTTTGACCCCCAAAGGGGTGTGACCCACAGGCTGAGAACCGCTGCCCTAGGACAATCTGGCTAGTCAGACTGGCAGAGACACAAGCTCCAAGACCAAAGCCAAGCATATGGGGTGGCAAATGATTGAGGAAGACACTCACATCAACCTTGGGTCTCCACATGTATACTCACATGTACATGTGAACATGCATATACCACATACACACATATATACAATCCTAAGCTACACATTGAAGTGTAGCAAGTTGTACACTATATGAATTCTAAATAAAAACGAATCTTTCAAAAGTTAAAAAATTGTCCATTATGCCTCTTTACTTCATCTAAATGTTGTTTACTTTATTATCCTCCAACCTACTTCTACTTAGTCTTTCATAAGCTATACTGAATTTATTGATATTTTCAAAGAACCTGTTTTTAGTTGTATTGATCTGTTAATTTTTGTTTTATAGCTAGATAATTTCTGCATATTTACTATTCTTTCCCTCCAATTTCACTAGGATTGCTTATTTTCCTCTAACTTCTTGAATTAAAAAGAATTTGCTTTCATTGTTTTCAATTCTCTTTTCCCCCAAAGAAATTTAAGGCCAAGTTTTCTTGGCTTAGTATACTTTGTGTTTTTTGGCACATGACCTCTCCTTGTCATTCATTTCTAGATAGGAGCATTATTTTTTTCTTTGTTAACTAAGAATTGCTTTAAAAGATATTAAACAGTGTAAGGATTATAGGTTGGCTAGTTATGTGTTGTATTTTCTGCTTTCCACCAAAGGAGGCAATGTATCTGTCTGCTTCCTTATGGGATTTGTTTACATTTCTTTTGTCACTTTTATATGAGGAAAACTTTTTTCTCCTGCAGCACTAGGGATAGAACCCAGGGTCTTGCACATGCCAGGCAGGTGCACTGCCACTGAGCTACATCCCAGGCTCTTGGTCGCAGTTACAAGGAATGATCTCTATACTCTTCAGATCTCCTCTTTTTGTACATACGCTATTTGATGTGGTAATTCTGAGACCCGGAGAATAAAACACATAGCCATGAAAGCCACGATGGGAAATCATCCCTTTCTGCTTGTTCATGCTTGAGTTTTTACTTTATACATTAAAGCATGTTTTCAGGTGCATAGAAGCTGAGACGTCTTCATGGGTATTACATGTCCTTTGCGTGTGTGTTTTGGGTCCTGAACTCAAGGCTTTCTTCATGCTGGCCAAGTGCTTTGCCACTGAGCCACTAAAGACTTATTTCATCTTGTTAAAACAGCTTTCCCCTTGTTTCCTTTCCTCATTCTTTACCTTAACCTGTGTTGCTACTTCTCAGAGTATGCTGCTTTTACTAGAATTGTCGTAGCCTAACATTGTCTGCTCTTTGTTTCAGTGCCCTTGTGGCATTTGGTTTACACATGTCTACTATGCCACAGGTAGCTGTCTTTTATGTTAAATCCTAACTTGAGAATCTCTGTCATTCAGTAGGGATTTCTACTCACTCACACCTGCTGAGATTATTGATAGAGCACATGTTATCTACAATATGTTCTGTTCTTGTACTGAATTCAACCCATTGTGGAAGGTTGGGGCA